ATTACTTTACTAATTATTAAATAAAAGTATAAAAGAATAATATAAATAATTAGTTTAAAATATTTTTATTTAATATAAAAAAATTATAAAAATTAATTAAATTCTGAATGATTTTATTATATATTTTTTTTATAAAAAATACTAGTATTATAGTAAAACTTATATAATAATCTTATTATTATTACTTTTAATTAAAATTATATTTATAATTTAAATAATTATTAAAAGTAAAAGTTAATATTTTGAAAATGATATTTATTAAATATTAGTATTTTTTATTATTATTATTAAAGAAAATATTAATAAATAAATATTATAATTTAAAATTCATTATTTAAGAAATTTTTAGAACTTATATATTATAATTTTGAATTTGTTATATTATTTTTTTATTATATATTGATAAAATTAAAATAATTAAAAATAAAGTAATAAATCATAAATTATTTAAAATTTTATTTTATTTAAAAAATTTTTTTGAAAATTTGTAAATTAAAATTAAATAAACATAGTTTTATTTTAATATATTATATTAATTTTATTTTAAGCAAAATTAATTAACTATATACTAATAATTAAAATAATGCAATAATATTAAAAATATAAATTTTCTCTTTATATAAAAGTTTTCAAGTTTACTAATAAATATTTTTTATTTTTATATTAAAATAAAAATAATAATATATATATTTTAGATTTAATTGTTCTAATTATATATAAAATCAATTATTTTTTTATAATTAAAATATATAAATAAATAATTAACTTTATATACAATTAGAACAATTTTATTAGATTAAATTTAAAATTCTGAAAAAAATATATTAAAATATATATTATTATTTTTAGTTTAATATAAAAATAAAAAATATTTATTAGTAAAATTGAAAAGATTTATATAAGATATTTATAATTCAATAATATTAAGTATAAATAATCTAATAAAATATTTGATCAAAGTTTGTTATATAATAGCATGAACAAAAATATGAAAAATAATGAAAAACAGATATTTAAATCTATATTGGTATACTAATAAAAAATGTTAAAGAGATAATTTTATATATAATCTTGATTTTAACTCTAGTCCTAATTCTAACTCTAAGCTTTAATTATATAGTTATATTTCATATAATAGATCAAATAATAAAATGACTGAAACCTAAACACAAAATCTGTGACTTCAAAATTTATATTATATGTAATTGGATATCATACTTTTTGAATTATCAACTTTCTCATATATTAATAAAAATACTCAATCTTAAGATATTAATAATAGAGAGATATAATTATATAGTTAAAAATTTAGCTAATTAATAATTCACTTTTTTAATAAAATTATATATTAATTATTAACAAAAAATATTAATTATAAAACTTATATTATTATATAAGATATTAAATTTTTAATCAAGTTATTAAAAAATATTATTTTAAAATTATTTTTATATCAAATAGAAATATAATTTATTAATAGTAATAATATTCTATTTTTTAAATAGAAAAAAATTTTTTATATATTAATTTTAGAGTTATATAATATTTTAATAATAAAATATTATAAATATTAATTAAATATTTATATTACAAGAATATTTATTAGAAATTTAACTAAAAATTTAATTTATAATAATATTAATATCTAAGAAATATAATATATATAACAAGTAGTATTTAATAAAAATTTAAATATTAATAATAAATTTGTATTAATTATTATTTAAAGTTTTAATAATAAATTTATAATTTAATTTTAATTATAAATAATTTTTCAATAACAAAATATTATTTTTTTATATTTTATTTTTTATACAAGTTATTATAATAAAATTTTATATAATATTAATAAAACTTAATAATTAATAATATTATAATTAGTTATAAAATATATATAAAATAATATATAAATTTTTTGAGAAATATTAATTAATTAATAAATATCAAAATAATAAAAATTAATTATAATTTAGCAAAATTAAATTTGTATAATTATATAATGAATTTTAATATAACAAATAAAAATAATATAATTATATTATTTTCACTTAGTCTAAATTATAATATAATATACAAATTATATATAATATATTGTTCAAGTAATATATAAATTATATATAATATGGGGATGAGTCAACAGAAACCAAGCAAATTATATATATAATACATATATAATTTGCTTGGTTTCTGTTGACTCACCCCCATATATTATTTAATATAAAAATTTTATTTGATATTATTATTATAATAATAAAAATTTATAGATTTTCAAAATAGTCAAAAAAATTAAAAATAACAAAAAATACAAAATATTTAAAAAATATAACAAAAATTTATTACAAAATTTTTTTAATTTTTTATTTTTATAACTTTTATATAGTAAATTATTTACTTTTATATTTACAAAAAATATAAAAATAAAAATATTATTTGAACTTTGACTTAACATATTATAAATATAAAATAAAAATTATAATAAAACATAAATCTTTTATCAAATAATATTTATCTCACTTTTAATTAAATAATTTTAAAATTTGTATACAAATAATTTTGAATTATACTATGTTTATTAAAATACTATTATTAAATATTTAATTAATAATTATTTTTGTTTTTAATTAATCTTTTAATTTTTATAAGTTTAATAATTTAATTATTCAAAAATAAAAGAAACTTTAATTACTTGATTTTATATTAAAACTTGACTACTTGAAAATAAAAAAACTTTAATTACTTATATATTTTAATAATGCTAATTATATTATAAAAATATTTTATATAATTATAAATAATTAGTATTTTAATTTCTTTTTATTATATAATTTTCTTTATTTTACAATATTTTCTCTTTTTATTTTTTTATACTTTTATTTTTTCTTTGAACTATTATAATTTTAGTAAAAATTAATATAGAACTTAGATATTTTTCTTTTCCATTAATATTTAGTTATTTGTTTAATTCTTTTTTTTAATTCTTGTTTAAGTTTGTAAATTAATTTATTAATTAGTAAATAAACTTGTAATAATATAAACATTTTTTAAAAAATTATTATTTTAATTATTTTAAATTTTTTAGCTAAAGATATCTAGAATTTTTCTTAAAATTATATATATCTAATATCTATATTATTATTATTTTATATAATTTATAATTTTATCACAGAAGAATATGTAATTAATATATGATATTTAGTCAAATAAAAGAGTTTATATATTAAATAACATTAATATGAAAGAAAATACTAAGTTTACTAAAGATAAGTAATATATATTCATTTTGTAATCAGTTAAAATAAGATCAAAAATATTCAAAGCTAATTGCATTCTTAAAGTTCAGTTTATAAACAAGTTGAATATTAATATTTTATTATCTTTTAATAATATAACTATAACTTTGCAATAGTAATAAGAGATCAAATACAAGAGTTATAACTTTATAATTAAGATAAAAAATTATAAGGTAACTACAATAAGAAGAATTTCACAATTAAAATGAAAGATTATATCAAAAACTATTTAAAAAATTATTAAAAGAAGTAAAAACAAATTATTAACTTTCTTATTTTTCTAATTAAAATACATATGATATTTATAAATAATTAATAAATAAGAAGTAATCACTTGGAATAACCACTTGGAATATTTCATTTAAAGTGATCATTTAAAGATCATTTGAAATGATTACTTGAGTAATTATTTGGAGTGATCATTTGAAGTGATTATCTAGAATGATTATGTGCAATGATTATTTAGAATGATCATCTTCATAAATTATCAAATCACAACAATATCTCAAAATTTTACTATATAAATTAAAATTGAGTAACTAATAAAAATATTAAACATGTGATTTTACATATATATATAAAAAAAACTTAAAAACATATAAGGTAAAAGAGAGTATTTTGGTGAAGTTAAAATCATGATTAGAAAAACTTTTTACAGATAGTACAAATATTAGTATATATATTTATGATGGCTAAAAAACCAACTCAATTTTGTATAAGTCAAGCAAAAATTAAAATAATGTGACAAGCAATAAAAGAAAAAAATGATCATTTTGTGTGCTGCTAATTTTGGGAGAGTGGGGGGAGATGTATTTTGGTGAAGTAAATATGCAAAACTTCGATAACTAGAATCGGAATCACATGAAAATACCACCATTCGATTCGTTTAGACATGACGAATCAAATGGTGGTATTTTCATGTGATTCCGATCGCTGGATATCGAGATATCATCTTGAAATCTCCGTATATTAAATTTTGGCATATGGTAATTTTCAAGGACGATATCTCGATACCCTGCGATCAAAATTACGTGAAAATATGACCATTCAATTCACCTAGACATGACGAATGAATAATTTATTTTCACATGATTTCGATATATGATGACTTTCAGTGCGATATCTCGATAAGTAGCGATCGGAATCGCATGAAAATACCATCATTCGATTCGTCTAGGCATGACGAATCGAATGATGGTATTTTCATGCTACTTATCGAAGTATCATTACTTCGCCACAATATCCTCTTTTACCTTATATTATAGAATTAAGGACTAATTAAGGAATTAAGAACTAATTAAGGAATTTAGGACTATATCAAAATCCGAAATATTTAAGAATTGAAAATAATTTAGCCCGAGTCATTAGTCAAAGTGGAAAAAAGGAGAAAAATACAGGCAGAAATAATTGAGATAATCAGTAACATGTCGTTCTTTCAGAATATGTATGGTGCTGGAAGTCTATACTCGACAATCACGTGATATCTTTAAAACGCATCAACTTTTTGTAGAAATGATATTTTAAAAAACTGACCGGTAACTTTATAGAGCTCGTTACAATGAACAAAGTTATCGGTCAGTTTTTTAAAATATCATTTCTACAAAAAGTTGAGTATAAACTTCTAGCAACATATAAAATACGAAAAATTTATAAAAGCTCATGGAATAAAAGCCGAATGAGTACCTTGTGTACAGGCAGGCATATATATTTTTATTGTGATCGGACATTAAAATCACGATAAGGAATGTAATCAGGTAAATTGGATGGTACGTTCATTGATGCGTGCGTCATGAAGTAAGTTCCAGGGTTAACTGGACAATTCAATGCCTGAGCTCCACAAGGGTCCCCACCATACCCACTGTAGGCAACACTACTATCAGCACTAGCAAAGTTAATTGAAGATCATCGCCATAATTAATAGTCGATTTTTGCAGGGTTCCGTCGATAAGAAAAGTGACAAAATTTCCAGGCGTGAGAATGATTCTGCGTTCGGTAGAGGAGGACATGGTCCCCAGTTAATACCTCTTTTGTAGAGTTGATGCGGAATAGCATTGACCATTGAAAGTGTTGCCAGTAAAATGAATAGCAAAGTAAAATTGCGATTCATGGTTTCATTGCGAATTGTATTTGTCAATAACTTGATAGAGATTCTTGGTAGACGTACAAATATCGGGTTATAGATAAACTAAAATGTTGGAATGTGATCATTTTATAAGAAAAAAGTTTTTGCAAAAGCGGATTTCCTTTGTATCACATCTTATTAAAATCATCAGGAAGCATTCTGTTCTTTAATTACCGTTACTCTTTTTATTATCTCCGACAGTTGGGCACGCGGTTTGGGCGACAAAATTTTCTTGGCATTGATTACCATGATGTTGCCTAACAAAGAAAATCGGCGGATAATTAACGTTAACGTTAAGACAAAACCGGTAATCACGGAACAGTAATTATCGTTATTGCTTTGATGGTTAGTAGCACAAAGGCATGCGTAAACGTAACGGTAACGGTAAAGGTAAATCCTAATCTATTAAAATTTGCATGTGATATTTCTAAGTTGAGCGAACAGAGGTGTTCTAAAAATTTTGGAATTTTTTAATCGATGAATGCTTAACAGCTATTACTCTATTAAATCAAATTTAAAAATATTTATTTAAAAGTTTAATAGCATTCAACCATTACATTATAATAAAAAAGTAACAAAATCATAAACTATTTGCTAATTATCAAAAACAAGCCAACAGATTGCTTGTTATTTAGTATATAAATCTTCTGCTATTAAATTTTAAATAAATATTTTTGTATTTAATTAATACAGTAGTACGTCTTAGTATTAGCGTTAGGTAGAAACATACACACCCCTACAGTATATTACCGGAAATTTCAAAAACGAATTTATCACTTTGTAACCCGAGATTTCGACATCCAGTGATCCCATCCGAGACGAATCTAATGGTAATATTTTTGTTCGAATGGGATCACTGGATGTCGAGATATCTTGATAAATTCATTTTTGTGAACGTATTGTCGTTCCTGCACCATACAATCCAAATTTGGACTGGAATAGAATAAATGCACATGAAGATCATTCTAATGCAACAAAGTTTATTTACATGTATCAAGTACAAAAAACAAGTACGTATGTGGTTTGTATACGTAATATACATGTTCTTTTTTACGACATCTTCCATACAGACTTAGGTTTGGCCCCTAACGACGGTAATTAGAAGTTCGGCTCAAAGAGGGAGACATGTTGGCAAAAATGAGAGTTCGAGCAAGTTTATTTACCAATAATAGTAATGTCAATACACGTATGGTGCCGGCACCATAGTATACTAACACGCGACAATTAAGTAGAATGTTACATTGAAAAAGTACAATATCGAATTACGAGCTTTGTGTATCCCAATTCCAATATCGATAGAAGTATTTATTATAAAATCTTAATAAAATATATAAAAATATATACAGTATATGAAAATATATATGAACAATGATGTCGCTATAACTAAATATTGAAAGAAGCAAAACAAAAAGTAAACGAAAAAATCTCTATGTAAAATGCTATATACGTATTTTTTAACATAAATAACATAAATTTCTTAGCTTAATTATGCATGAATAATACAAAGAGCTATCACTATCAATTACGTCATAACAATTACTTAATGACATAACATTAATTCTTTTCTCCAAGACATGAATCCCTCTTATAGAAAAATACGTAGTCAATTGCCTGACCCTAACTATTTGTATGTTATGTATGTATGCTAGATAAAAAGTATAAACAGTAAAAGGTTGAAATGCTTATGGTGCTGAAAAGTTTCCTGCTTAAGAAATAGATATAGAACTAAATACCACGAACGTAAAAACAATACTACTTTAGTCAAAGAAATTACTTAATTGTGCGATACAGGAAGGTGTGAATTTGCCTTCAAGTTGGAAGCGTATTTAAGGAAATATGTAAACGGTTATAAATAATTTTGAAGTTTGACAGAGAAAAATTCTGAATTTAAATAAATAAGAAACAATGGAGAGATAATGATAATAATAATAATAAATTGTAATTTAGCATAGCTTTGCAAGTAGAATGAGACTACACTGTAGCATATAATAATAATAATAATAATAATAAAAAGGGACTACACGGAAAAATGGCCATGTGTAAAGTTAATAATATCGATATCAAAATCTTCTTCAAGAAAAAGTTCGTCAGAATAACCCTCTCCAGTAACCTCTATAATTCTAAAAAGTTCGCCAGAATTGAATATGATATACATCGCATCAGAAGAGGAAACACCTGTCAAGATTCCGCTCAAATTGTCTTCAATTTTCTCGCAAGAACCGTCTACATTGACCTTATAAAGACCTTTTGAAAACAGGTACAAATTATCTTGATACGCCAGAATCAAATCTGGATCTTGCCCGCCCCGCTTAATAATTATTTTGGTATAATCTCGCAGATCGATTCTCCACAGGTCTCCGTGTCTGGTGACTACGTAAACGCTATCACCTAACACGGCGGCGGATACAGTCGAACGCCAGTCACTACTATCTAAACTTTCGCATTTGCCGTTAATAGTATCAATTCGCCAAAGTTTGTCACCGAATGCAAAAATGCCATTTTCGAAGGTGACGAGAGCACGTACATTGTTCAAATTTTTGATGATGCATCGAAGTTCAAAGGTCAAAAGGTTGATGCACCATATTTCACCAATCTGCGTTGAGATGTAAACGTCATCTTTGAATTTAGTGGCAGCAATGATTTTGCCACATCCACTCAAAACTCTTCGCGTGGTGCCCTTGTCGACTTCGAAGAGGTCTTTGTTGCGGAATATGTAGAGTTTATTTTGGTGAGCGATGAGTGCGTCAGAATTTTCCCAAAATTTATTGATTACGCTCCAAATCAATGAAGGCATATCAGCTGATGTCGATTTCATTTTTGATTATATTTATTAAAAATATTGTTCATTAGCAATATTGTTCAGTAGAAATATAGTTTATTAGAGACATACTATTCAATTAACACATACCTGATTCGGATGTAGGTTGGTAAAAAGTTTGAGTCGAAGGTGTAAGACTATATAAACAACAATAAATGTGAATTGAGAATAATTAAAACGCATTCATACATTGGAAACTTGTCGAAAATACTCACGTAATATCGCGCAGCGAGGGAAAGAATGACAAGGAAGACATACGAGCACTATTCGACTGTTCGGAAGGAAACATTATAAAGAAAAGAGACGACCCAAAAATATTCGTCGAAATAATGTAACAAGCTTAAATGAAGCGAATGAGAATTATGCTTCCTCAAAAATAATTAATTATTATTATAAGAGATGTCTCGAACAATAAGTCGAAATGGCTTGTAATGTCTAACCTTTTAGTCAAAAAAGGTATAATAAATTAAAAAGCTCTGTTATTTAGCAATAGGTGATGGTGGTGGTATAAAACTTTCCAGCTTTGGTCATAGCCAACATATCTAATTATGAGTTTGACAAATAGTGCAAAGCATCGCCTATTTATTCATTTTCTTGGTTTGGGAGTCGCAGCAGTCGGTCAGCCATTCTCTTCGGAAAGTCCGGAATATAGTGAGTCATAACTGATAGATCTCACGCGCGTTTATTATCGATTTGTTATTATTATTATTATTATTATTATTATTATTATTCTATTTGCATATTTGTTAATAAATTAATAATAATTAATAAAAAAATTCAAGAAATTTCGGTTGATATTTTCCATCAGTGTTGTTGTTGTTAAGTGATGAATTACACATACGTAAGCACGCAGCGTTGCGTAGTTATAAATCTGCCATGAACCTATGTGTGTAACTTGACACTCGCAACCTGAATTCCGTTATCAAACTTGGAGCCACAACAATTTTCTCAATAACTTAGTTTGCTTAGCCACGCAGTTATCTTCGCATGAGAAATCTTTGCGCTTGTGTATCTCTGTGTATATGCTAGTAGGTATTAGCGCTAATACGTAGTTAGTATTGATATTTAACGTTAATAAGAATCTGCGGCAAAGTTGTTTTTGTACATGTGTCATGTTGCGTTACAGATTTTATTCAAACAGCAAGAATTTGGCATACAGATTTCCTTTTATAGACAGTTATTACTACAGAAGATTTGCTTGACGTTATCGTTATCGTCCTAGTGCCACATTTTTGACATTCCGATTTACATTTCTGTTCTGTATTTATTTTAACAGGTGTGATATTTTATTATCTCATGATGATGTTGACATTGAATTACTAATTTGACAGGGAACAGTTTTGTTTGTTTGCTTGCTGTTCAAGGATTTTCTCCCTCCACAAAAGAAACCTTTCCCTTGCAGATTAATGTAACGTGGCTCTTTTGTTAGCTTGGTAAAACAAAGAATTCGACAATCACTTTGTTCTTTTAATTAGACAAGGAATCGTCGAACTTGGCATGAATGAATGCTACCTCGATTGTTAACTGTATTTTTCGATTGTTTGCGTTTTTTGGTGAATTTGATTTTGTGTCTTGCTTTCAATCGGGTTTTTTTTTACATAAGAAATCAACAGAATAGAAGAAATTGAAAACAAAAAATAAAAATGATGGCGTCATTACACACAATTTACGTATCGGTATTTGCAAATCTAGTTTGAAACAAGATCCGCAAATTGTTCTTTAGTTATCGTTATGAACCCGAAAAATTCTAATTCGTACAATTTCTTGTTAAAATCTTGATAAAACAAAAACTCGCGATTCAATTGTAACTCTTTCTACGATTGTTTTGTAATCTAATGGTTTCGTATGAATTAGAAATTGATGTTATTGTTCAACTTTTTAATCTATTCGAATGCTCAATGTTAGAATTTTCGTTTATCCAAGATAATTGAAAGACCTTTCTTTCTAAGGGATAAATTCATGAATTTATTCAAGACATTTCTCCGCATACGCACTGTTTGTTCCTCTTTAATGACGTATTTGATATTAAAAATTACGGTTGTGTATCACAACTCATCCATAACGATAAAGTCTATTTTTATTCTTTTTTTATCTATATGCAATCGCAAACAAGTGCTGTATTTTCTCGTATCTTTGTAAGAGTGGGGGTGGCTACCGTTAGAATTCTTTTTTAAGTATCGGCGGCGGCGGTATTATATGTGAAACATGAAAAGCATGCATGATCTATTAATGGAAATCATGTACAGTATTGACACACACCTTAAAAAAGTTGGTATATGTGTACGATTGTGAGAAGGGTATCGGTATATAGTCTAGATTTTAAGTCTAGTAAAATTCATTATATCATCACTAAGAAAGAACCTTCGTCGTCATCATTATTAGGTGTATATCAATTGAAAATTAGAATACCAATACTATAAAATATGGTCTAATTTCATCGTTATTTATTTTTATCGTGTGTTACCCGGAGACTCAGCCAATCTGTAGTGAATCAAAACCACTAAAATTTGTGCGAACCACTCCAGTATTTGACTTATCGATATACATATATATATATATATATATATCACTCACATTATTAGTTGGACATATAGGGAATTTTGTTGTTATCGTTATTACATAATAATACCTGTAATAACAATAATATTACATGTAACAATACGTATCGATATGTTGTGCAACAAAATAAGAATTTCCGAGAAAAAAACGGGAAAAAACAACGATAACTAACACTAAAATATTCTTGAAAAATAATGTCCAACGATAAATATATAAAGATTTGCGATAAAAAATTTCCTAAACATTGGAGTCTTGGTTTTATTAGTGAAACTATAAAATTTTATTCTGCACAAATACCTGAATCTCCAAAATACTTATTTCAAGATACTGAGTTTCCATTCTCTGGTGAGATATCCGACCACGATAAACATCTAATAAAAAAAGTAAAAGTAATACTTGACACAGAAACACTAAGCACAGGAGATGATTTCAACATAGCCGAATCAATAGAAAAATGGTGTCAAAAAAACGACCAGACGCCCGAAAAAATTTATCGAATACTGAAAAAGAATTTTTTGAATTCTCCCGCATACTGGTCATGTCTTCTAGGCTTTTTCGAACAGTGCAGACTTGTAAACACTGGAAATTTGAATAAGGCATTACGTTTCTATAATATCGCGGCGGCTGGATCCGATGCCTTTGCGGCTAATCAAGTGGGTTTTATTCATCCACGGCATGCCCACAATTCTGAATACCGCTTAAAGTTTTATAAAAGAGCTGCGGACGGGGATCATGTGCATGGATATTTGAATCTGACTAATAAGTATTATTTCGATAAGCAGTTCAGAAAATATTTTATCTGTTTTTACCATTCTGCTTGTAAAGGCTATTTGAAAGTTTATGACCATGTGAGCATGTGTTATTCGCAAGGATGTGGTGTTAAAAAGGATAAACATATGGCATTTCGATGGAAGTTACGATTGAGAAATGCCACAAATATTTTAGAGGAACAGAAGCGGAAGAATTTTGAATCTAATACATGTAATTAGTCTATACATACTTTAGTAGTCTTTAAACCAATTTATGTCTCATCTAATTTAATGTATGCTAGCTAAAATAATTTCAGGGAATGCATACATACTTCAATGTACATGCACATACATAATGGTTGCATGCCATAATTCCTATCATATTTGTTACGTATTTCTAATTTTGAAACCAATGTTATCTACTTATCGCTACGTATAACACCGATATTCGGTACGTATACATTTTCGCGTTCTTTACAATGAATGAGGAAAAAATAATCACAGTAAGAGTGAAGTAATTTTTTAGAGATAGTGAATATGAGGTATAAAGTTTTGAACTTCAGAGAAAATCAAACTAGTATTTAACGAATTAATATAAATTATTTCTACAGTCAGGGTTTATTAACAGAAATTTACATTGACACAAGTAGAAAAAAATAATTCTTTTTATTTGACTGACTTATCAAAAACATGCTTTTGCACATAATGTAGCAATTTTTAGTGCACGCATGTTGAAATGTGCAATTATTTCGGCGGGAACGTTTCTTTTGTTTCAATGAAGTCTGGTGGCCATTTAGTGGCCGTTTCGTCGACGCGAAGCAGCGGTGGTTTTGTGTTTTGCGGATGCATTCTTTGGTCTAATTCTGACTTGGTAAGTTGCTTTTTATGTAATACTTCGTGCTGGTTCGCTTTTATTTTCTTTTGTCGAAGAGTTTTGTGGACTACTAGTTGTTAATACCGACCTTCTGCTGGTCATTCGCAGATTCCAACTTGCGACGAATTTGTATTTTACTCCGTTGGTTTCGTTCCATTGGTATTGGCAGTCCTTGTGTGACTATTTCTGGTTGTGTGCGAGAAATTCTGATTTTACTGACTGAATTCCTCTACTTTCATCGATAGGTGGTAGATTTTTTATGTTGCGAATTTCTTTGACCCTGAGTTGTGGATCAGATGTTCTGAGTTATTTCTTTCTTTATAGTGTTGGACCGTTTCTTGCTTTGGGACGCTATTTATATTGTAGTGTTGGAAATTCGCGCTCACCATCAAAATTCTAGGTTGCTTCTCAAGTTGTCGTTGAGTTTGCTGAGTGATATTTGTAGGTAAGTTTTTATTCCTCTCCAATTGGTCGTTTACTGGCATGATCATTAATTATTTTGTAAGCATTTTTCGCGGCAGGTTCTTTAGGTAGTTAACAGTTTTGACGCAATACAAATCGGCTAATTCATAAAAACACTTAGCATATAATCCTCTGTAAGGAATAAATAACATTCTAAAGGAAAAATTATAAGATCAGTTACCAATTAGTTTGACTAATTAAAAACCTATCTTAGAATATACTTTGTTGAAGTGGCGAGAAACTACTCTTCAACCCTCGCAATTTCTTTAGACTTTAGAAATGTTGGTGATTTCATAACGCCGTGTCCTGCCTTCGCTTAAACGAACTGAAACAGAGAATTTCCGCATTTCAAACATTAAGTTCGATCAAATTATTTCAATTCCTTTTTCGGACAATAACTAAATTTTAGACCGAGTCTTTGAATTGAGAATGTCGACTAGCCGAGGAGGAGAGCAGTGTCCATTGATACAATGGGGTGGCACTATACCGGGCCGAGCTAATACAGTCAACTCTCGATATAGTGAAGGACTAATTAAACTCTCGATATCGATATAGTAAAGTTGAGCTCAAAAACAGTACAGTATAGTGAATTTACTAATAAACTCTCGATATAGTGAATTTTTGAAAATCTTTCACTAATAGCCCGAACACCTTCACTATAACGAGGTTTGACTGTAGGCTACTATAGTCAGGTGACCTGACCAACATTACTGCTATATTTTAAGCAACTTCACAAAAGCGAGTTAAATTTGCCACCATTTAGTCTGTGTACAGCACCCGGCGAACTCTAAGAGTCTCTCGCTACGGGCTTGGCTGCCGATATCGCTTCGGGAATTTACTTCCCCTCCCAGGTTAAAACTCCCATTCTAAAATGATGAAGGTTGAGCTTTAACTGACTACGGTTCCCTCTTGCCGTGGTAACTTCGGAAAAAAGCGCGTTCCCGGTAATCTGACAATGTTGCAATAGTATTTTCATCAATAGTTCCAACTTTCTCACTGTGTTATCAAAACTATATCAGAGGTTTCAGACGCTCCCCAGCCATCCTACTATTACTAGCGTTCGGTTACATCACCATAAGAGCAATACTATAGCGTAAAATAGAAGAGAATGTCAATAGACTATCGGGCCAAGTTCTTTAGGTCGAGTAGTCGTAACATTTGCCCAGCCTCTCACACAGTGCCATTAGTTTCTTTCTCTTTTACCGATCCTTATAGAATTTGACTCTTACGTGTAGGGATAATGGTGGACGTCCGTTAACCTAAATGCAGTTACCCATGTAATTCCACAACTGACGCCCCCCCCCCCCTACTAAAGACCCCGACGCTTCTTGTACGCACGATCCGAAGGAACTTACCCTCCGGAAGCATTATTTTGTGATACTCTGAGTGGTCAAAAGTGTTAGGTGTTGCTTTGAATTTCCGTTTGGCGTTAATTTCTTACGCCATTTCCTAGTTGTGATGCTGCTAGTGTACAATGTATTATGGAAGTCTTTTTATTTGACTTGGTTTAGAGTGTGGAGTGTTGACCACTTTCCACTGGTAATTTTCTTGTTGGCTTGGTGACTTCGTGAATTTTGCAATTCGAATTTACTCTGAGTGCAATATTCTGGAGCTTCCGTTAAGTTTGTGGTTGGTCTTAATTTCCTTTTACCGTTCAGAACGAGTTTGGCTTTAGTTTCGTTATTTCATGGACAAACTTGTGAATTTCCGCAGTTCGCGACCAGTCCTGTCCTTCCCAAGTTTCCATCAGTATTAAGAAAGTTATCGTATGAGTTTATTTTCTAGTGAGTGTTTCTTTTCCAAAATGGGAAGCATTTCCAAATCGGAATGTCGAGAAATTCTGGATTTGAGTTGTTGGAGTCAGAGAACACCTATAATTTGTTGTTTCCATCATTTTTAACTGTTCTTTTCCCTTCTGTAGGATGTTATTTTTTCCTTCCATCGCTTCCTGTTATTTTTATAAGGTCGGGTTCGACGGATTTTGCTGGATGCTTGTATTTCCGTTGATGACGGCACTTTTCTGTTCCGTGACTGTGGTTGGTCCTCGTTCTTCAGGGGCAACGTGACAGTTGTCATTTTCTTCGCTGGAATGGAGGAATTCCGAAATCTCGGGTGGTGGCAACTTTTCCTTTTTTTGTCGCGACGTTACTAACCCCAAAGGTGATAGATTTACGCATTCCTAATTTGGCGTCATTTCTTCGACATCCTCGTTTTATTTTGCTGGTTCTCGCTAATTTTGGCAGCGTTTTTTATGCTTCCTGATATTGAAGTTCACATTAGTAGCCGGCGTATGTGATTAGCTCGACCATATTCGAGCCTTTTGCAGCTCAACTTCCATTCTATCAACCCACCTTTACGATACCACTTGATCGCTTCGTGCACATCTTTTTTCGTGCCAATTCCACGTAGATAGCAGCGCGCGGTGATGAAAATTGTGTTGGCATGGTGATAATAGTGCGGAGCCGAGATTAGCGAGTGTTCGTGGCCAACATCTGCAGCACTACGGTTCCAGTAGAATGATTTACGGGATCGGGTCGAGTGTTCTGGTAGTAGTATGCGAGCTGTTTTCGTTTGATTCCGGTTTAGATGTAGAAAGTTTAATAAATTACATTTACTGCCATTGGTTTATTGTTATTAGATCTAAGTTCTAACCTTATAAAGTATAACGATAAAGAACAAATTCGGTTTACGTATTGAACCCAAAAGTTTATGTACACGTGGCTCGATATCGATATATATGCATAAGAAATAAATTTTATTAAAATCATACATATGGAGCTAACAAATTGACACTTGACATTCCTATACATTTGATATGAATTTTAATTACTGTGAAATGCTAATATGATTGGAATTGAAATTAGTTTTGTGGTGTAAAGACTCGACTGGTACAAACTGCATTGGAGTGGATTTTTTGTTCGAACACTTTTTTGCCTCTCATTTCTGGTTTTCTAGTACAAGACACTCGATTATCTCTTCGCATGTTTTAGGATATTCTAAAGAACTGTAGTACTGACAATGCAAAGTACATTTATCCAGTTTCATTCTACTGAATGAATTGGTCGACATGTAAGATAGAGAAGATAAAGTCGCCAAGTTTCTTAACAGTTGGTCTGTTTTCTGGAATAGGATCCCAACATTTTTCAATAATAAATTTGCACC